AACTCAGGTGGCCAGGATTGTGCTCTTTGTAAGTGCGCAAATTAAAGCGCCACCGGCCTCCAAAGATCCTCATTATCGCCTTTAAGAGACTGTTAGGGCAAGTGCTGTTCACGAGCAGCTATGAAGGCCGGCGAGGTACACGAGGGGGTGGGTGGCCAGCACCACGCCCGACCGCCTTTGTTACCACAGTGGCGATGTTTATACACCACACCAGGTACTCCTTTGAGGCTGAGTCGACCTAGGAAAGGTCCAGGACCGGTTCAGATAATCGTAACTCGTGTTAGCCGTGAACGGGTATCAAACTCGTTTCGATGGGTTCATAGTGACGCATGCTAACCGTTGCGCCACCGCTCTCAACACACTTGCACACATTCCACACAGAGACGCCGATCCTCATTTAGCCTCATAGCTATATTGGCAAGTGCTGTTAGTGAGGAGTCGAGGTGCCAATGCTGGCCATAGCACTGCATGAGAATTCACGTGAGGCTGAGTTGATCAGGATGAGACAGAACAAGCTTAAATACAAATTGTTGATTGTGCTTTATACGGGGAGATATCAAACCCTGTACACTGGGTACTGTACAACGTGTGCACACAAAATAAAACTAAACTATCAACTATTTTTTTTATTTTACCAGGTAAGGCCCACTGAGCTAATTAGCTCATTTTCAGAAGGGACCTGGCCACAAATGATAGCTCAACGAAGTGTCTTATCGCGTATAAATATATGGCAGCCAACTACTCTAAACACATGGCTAGCCATTGAACGAAGACGGTCACTGCATCGTGCTCTTTCAGATGCACTTCTGCGGCCGTCTGGAACACGCTTCCTTCAGATATTAGGAAGCCACTGGAGCTATGCACTTTTAAATCTTAATTGAAAACGAATGTTAGAACTCATTTTTATGTTCAGTTTGTTGCCTTCCCCCACACCTCTGATCAGCGCGGTTGGCTACGTATGGTATGAAATAAGTTCAAGATACATTTCTAAATGTTCAGGGAAAACCCGGAGGACCTGAAGAAAAATTAACGCGACCACGGGGAGAACGTGCAAACTCCAAATATAGAGGCATCAGGGTCGGGATCGAACCAACGACCTCCTGTAGTTAACATCGTGAGGTAGTTATCATCTCCTTGCCACCATGCCCCCCCCCCCCCCCAAATAACCTCTTCCATGCTCAGCTGTGATATTCTGTATAACTTCACTTGCAATTGTATATTACATGTATCCTCGTCACTCTTACACACTAGTGCAATTCCATTTGTAATTTAATTTAACTCAATTGTACTAGGAATGGCTTTTAAATGTAATTTGTCTGACCCATTTTGCATCACAGGAAATGCAATGAATGTAACATTTATTGGAGTCTGTGCTGAATTTCTTTGGTTGTTTTTTGTTGCTCTAAATTGATATTTCGATGTTTTTTTCTCCGATTTCGATTTGCTTCATTGGTGTACTTTGCTTTGTAGTATTGCTTGGCATTTTAGTGACACGGGTCACTCTTGCGAATGAAACTCATTATCACCTGGTTAAACAAAATAAACTTCAACTTAAACACTGCCACTCTCTCTCTCTCTGCTCTTATAAACAAATCACGACACCTTCTACCCATTTCATACACCTTCATAACATCAACATCTGCGTGCAGTTGCATCGTGAGTGGAGGGATTTGTTTAAGATCACTCGGGGGTCAGAGTATTCGGCGATGGATTTTACAAAAGGAAAAAAAAGATAGAGGAATGCAGCCCCCGTGCAGTTCAAATAACACCTCGCACCGTCTGCTCAGAAATAAATCTAAAGGAAGTTATTTGGTAAAAGCTGTTTCACCAGATGTGTACCAAGGAGGACATCCTAAAGCTGGGCTAGAGGCAGCAAAACATTCCACTCTGGCAAAATTCAAAATCAACCATCCATGCGTGCCCCATTGTGCGGCAATAATCTCGGGTGTTGGTTCTCAGTCTGAAGTGGAAATTCTACATTCCTATGGTAGAAGGTGGGAACGAGTATCTCCACAAAATAATCACCGTTGACTTTGAAACAATTCGTGCAGCTGCATTAGGTGGGTGATTATTTCGCTCACGCCGGAGGGATCATGAGGCTGAGTCAACACCCGACCTGAACTTGAACTCACAACTATGATCACACAAAAAAGGCTTTCTCAGCCACCGGCGTCAGTACCAGGGCTAGAATGTGGTGCAAGCGCTCATGGGAATTCAACAAGGGTCTCCTAGCAGCAGGTGTGGCCAATTTGAGGTTAACTGCAGACAGAATGTACCGACGAGTGTATTGTGTTTCACCTGAACCTAATCAGCCTTACCTGGCCATTCACATACTCTGTGATAAATCACTCAGCGTGTTTGTCTCAAGTCCAGGGTGTCTTGACAACGATACAGATGATGCGGCCTGCATTACAACACCTGTTCCACCGGTGAGCCACTCCCAATATTCCCACTCCCCCCCCCCCCCCCCCCCCCCCCCCCCCCCCCCCCAGAGATTCAACTGCATCACAAGGTAAAAGATATGAAGGGAGACTGGTAGGCAGACAGACACACAAAAACAAAGATCCCCCGTGTAGCCTTAACAGACTGTTGGGGGCAAGTGATGTCAGCAGGCACCTAAAAAGGCCGGTACAGCACCACGCCCGGCCGCCTTTATCCCCCTAGTGGTGATGTTTTTGCACCGCACCAGGCATTCGTTTAAGGCCGAGTCGACCTAGGGGAGGCCCAGGACCGGTTCAGATAATTATCACTGGTGTTGGCCCTGAGCAGGAATTTAACTTGGGATGCCGAGTTCATAGCGCTGCGCGCCCCACAGACAAACAGACACACACCCACACAGGGCGCTCTGTGAAACTGACACTGATGGCTTGTTTTCTGAGAGCTGTCATGCTGTGGCCATTTGCTAAAATAAAGTCTTATCCCAGCTCTCCAAAATATCCATGGGGGAGCCCACTTGGGGGCCCTGCGCTGGACGGTTCCAGTAACTCAAAGTGCAGCCGTTGCTTCTAAATCATGGCTCACTCACGGCCACAAACCTCTCAGCCGCACGACAAATACCTCGCACGCTCAAAATCTTCTACAAAGTTCCCTGGCTGCAAAACGGAAGCCTTCCTCACCCTCCAACTAAAGCCGTTCGCGAATATCACAGTGTGCATTGCAGTGACGATGAAGTCAACGTGAGTTTATGTTTCCTGAAGATCGTGGCAGAATTTGTTTTCTCTTGATGTTCATTTTGTGCCAGGGTAACGGTGAAGGTCCTAAGGGCTTCAACAACATCGTAAAGCTCGGATGGAATTGAAAATCCAAACATTTCTGTTTCTGGTTGCGTGCTTTGAGGTTTAACCAAAAAATGTATAAGATGTAAATAAAAAATATGCACCAGTAATAAGAAAGTGCAATAATTGTGAGGCACCCTCGCGACCACAGTTATGTGTATTTTTATGCACCATGTATTTGAAAAATTGCGTACATTCTAAAAGATTTCCCAACTGTGCTGCCACGGAGGAGTATTTAACCTTTGTTTAATGAGCGACTCTTATTAACAAGAACTTTATCCAAAACAGTATTTTGCCTAACAATACCAAAGCTTTGCTCAAGCTAAACCAACAAGTCACCTAAAAATGTGAAATGAAAACAAAGAAAGAAGAATTAAATGGCAAGCGAGTGGAAATCTCATCACCCGTGATGACCGCACACACAGAGAGAAGGAAGGAATGCATTGGAACGAGGCGGTCTCGCAGAGAAGAAATCCCCACTCGGCCCCAACTGTGAAGTGCAAGGACACGGCTGCTTTTTAGTTTCCACCAGTCACATCAACATTGGCCATTCAGCTCCCCCCCCCGCATCCCACCCCGTGCCGGCACAGACTTCCACTACCCACTACTGCACCACATCTGCTTTGCCACTCTCCTGCTGCAGGTAGTGGGGTGCCATGGTGATGAGACGTTAACTACCTCGCCTGGTATACAGGAGATGGTGAGTTTGTATGTCTCTCTCCCCGTGGTTATGTGGATTTTTCTCCAGGCCCTCTGGTTTTTCCTATCCACATTCAGAATAGTCATGCGTTTAGAGTATTAGGCTGCTATAAATTTCTCCGTGATGAGCCACTTCGTTGAGCTATCATGTGTGGCCAGGTTGCTTCTGAAAAATAGCTATACAGCTCAGTGTCTCTCGCATGGGGCGATATTCACATCTTTAAAAAATGGCCAAATGCAATGCTTTGATAATTATTTGCCCCATTAGTGATGATGGAGAGCATTAGCATGTTTTTGTAAAAAAAATTATACAGAGAGGAATATTCTAATCTATAATCTCAGTGCGATACCCCTGCAACTCTTCAAAACCAGCAGCCACAAACATTATCAAACGTTCTAAAATGATAAGTGATCCGGATGAAACCCGCCAGATGTTTTTTGCTGAAGTGCCCTCAATTATGGATTCATGGAACACACACCCAAAATACACACACGTAGGCTATGTGACTCTGACTTCATGACTTGAGATTGATGCTTCGTTACCGATAATAAAATGCACTAAAATGATGGTCAGGGGTGCTTCAGCAACATCGTTGCGAAGCTCTCATCTGTTCACAAAACAAAAGTGTTATTTAAACTTACGTGGTGAGAAAACATTGATCCAGAAGGCCAAAGGCTCCACTAAACGTTAGCTTTTTTTTTGTTGTATTGCCTATAACACTTAACAATGACACATAATGAGTTTGAAAGCTTGCTGTGTTTTAGATTGTGTTACTGTAATGTGTATGTTTACATGCAGCAGCAGCGCGGTAATTGTGAATATGGCCCTCTGGCGACTGTGACTGCTTTGCTGTGATGTTGAACACGGCCCATTAGTCGCTGCTGTTTGTCGATTGAGCAGACTTGGGGTGGAGCTGGAATGATGAATATTATGTTGACCTAGAATGTGACCGACCGTTCTACGTTAACATAACGAGAAACATTAAAAAGTGTCTACAGTGGTGGAGACACGACGGCGTGCCTCACCGCTGCAGAGTGAGGCGCAGGTTGCCCACGCTGTTCTTGATCTTCGTCTGCGCCTCCAGGTGCGTCATGCTGTCAGTGGGCGTGCCGTCGATCTGCAGCACCACGTCCCCTGGCACCACGGTGGCCTGAGCCGCTTTGCTACCCGGGCTTATCTGCACGCGGTGGAGAGACGAGAGCGGATTTGAGGACACGTGAAGGAGCGCCGCTCACGAGCAGCAGGAAGGGCACACGGTTCCCGCCTAGTCGCGCGTGCCAAACTGGGCACCATAACGCACATTTGGCACTGCCCATCTCACCCCCGCGCTTTTAATTTTGTGTGATCGGCAGGGCGCAACGACCTATTTCAACGGGGCTATCCAAGATACACGAATGTGGGCCCTCCTCCCAATGGCGGAGCCAGGCTTTTCAGGTAGCGGGGGGAAACCCCTCCAGCAATGAAACATGATAGGAGTTGTTAGTAATAAGTAAGGACTTGTCCCTTGCTTTTTATGCGACGCGTGTGCGGCAATGGCACAGCCATCGATTGAGGGTCGAATTCGAACCACGTTGTGTGATCGGCATCGCGCTCGCTGAAGGTGAATGCCTTGAGGGAAGTCGTGTACTGTATACGCAACTGCGCACAATTCTGTGAGTCACTTATAACTGCTTTACTTATTGCCAATTATGGACTCAGACTATTGTCCTATTATCTCATAGAGTCCCTGGCGTATAATAATATGCTACACAGTGGCAGTGGGAGTCGAAAAATGCCGATTTGTTACTAATAAACCCAAATGATCTGATCGAAATTAGGGATTTCGGTCGGATCATTGGGGGGGGGGGGGGGGCACGTGCCACCCCACCCCCAACTGGCTCCGCCAGTGCCCGCTCCTTTCCCCCGACTCACTTTTACTGAAATAGCTACGAATGTTTTTAACCCCGTATACAATGATATATATAGGCTATAACTATACATATTGTTCTCATACTAGCAAAAAAATCTTCTTAACGTGTTTTTACTTGTTTATATCTGTTGATTCGGGGCCCCCTTGTGGCCGACTGGGCCGCTATACATCGCATAACGCTGCCACGTACGCCCCCCCCCCCCCCCCCCCCCATAGCTGCGTCCCTGGATATCCGCCATACAGGTAGTCCCCGACTTACGACGGAGTCTTAACGCATCTCAATCGTAAGTCGGGGACTACGTGTACATTGCTCTCAGCCTTGTTGAGCCACTGGGTAGGCACGGCTATCGGGAACCGCACGTTCAGCACTGGCCATGTGACCCCGCTCTTTTCATGTTGTGTGGACATCGGGCATATATTGCCCTTGGCCTTTGCCCATACCGGGCAACTCAATAGCTGACCCTGTAGTTGGGCTACCTACTCGAAAGAGCTTGGAAAATCGTGGCCATCCCAACAGCCGGTGCGACCTTCGATTGCAAGAAACAGCCAGTGGTTACATGTAAAGTGCGGTAACAAATATAAAACAAGCATGTGCATTGCTGAGATGTGTGTTTTTATGAAGTACTGCAGATAGTGAACACAACAATTATGGAGTAAGACAAACCTACGTAATTGCACACAGCAGCACAAATGATGGAGGAGAACTGAGTGTAGGCAGCAACGTGGAACATACACACTCACCGCTTTGAAAAAGCAACTGAGCCATAATCCCATCAATTAGCGTTAACCACCAGCAGGCATTTAATTTGTTCACTTGAATAATGGGTGCAAATATGTATATATTTTTTCCTTCACATTTCAAACGTAATATTACCTATCGGTAATTTAATTGCCTACATTAATAAAAATATACAGTATTTTACTACGACGCATCAGCTTTCATGCCACGGAGAGAGAATTACGAGATTATTTAACAAGCGCTCCTCATGCATATTTCAATAGAACAAAGCGGCCGTTGTCAGAGAGGCGTATGCCGGGTAGTGGCAGGCTGAGTGGCTCGCAAGGGTTTAGTCAGCAAGTCCAAACAGGAGCAGGTGCAATGTAGCCTGTACTACAAAGGCAAACGTCTCCCGTATAGCCTTAACAGGCTGTGGAGGCAAGTGCTGTTAGCAAGCACCTATGAAGCACCACGCCCGACCGCCCTTGTCTGCCTAGTGACTCATTTGAGGCCGAGTCAACCTAGGGGAGGCCCTGGACCGGTTTAGATATACGACAATTTTATTGGCCGTGAGCGGGAATCGAACTGGGGTTACCCAGTTTGTAGCACAGCGCGCTAACCACTAAACTGCACACACACACACACACCCTAAACACAACGTCCAGTTTATAACTACACTGATTGTGGGGGCAAGTATGTATATATGTTGAACTTCTTTCACAGCGTATACGTAGCCAAGCGTACTAATCGGAGGTGCTAATCGGAAGTATGATAGCGAGCACCTATTACCAACGATACCATAAAAGGGGTCGTGCATCTCCCCAGTGCTGGTGATTAAACACCACACACAGGCACAGTTCTGATGCAACGTACCGCCCATGTTAGGACAAGGGCGAGAGTCGAACCCGGGTTACCAGGCTTGTAGCACAATACTGCCCCATCACTCACAGACACCTTTCACACACAGAGTAAACAGTGTCCTTGGTGACAGGACCATGACTTCACATCTCCTCACTTAATCCACTGCAAGCCACATTACCACTCAGAAAATCATTAAAACTGACAGCACACACTATTGTGATAGTATCCAAGTGCTCTGCTATAGAGCATCCTTCCGCACGCCTGAAGCAACTTTCACTCATTTATATGCTCACTATATGCGTGTACATAATCATTTTACAAATATACAGCCCCCTTGTAAATCCACTGTTGGATGAAGGCCTCCCCAGGCTATCAAACATAGGCGTTGTTTGATCATACTTTGACCAAAGAAAGGAATGCAAAACAGGTTGAGATACCGCTAGCCCTGGGTTCTGGGAATCGGAACTAACTAAGGTTCATAGCACAGTGTTAACTAATGCACCACTGCTCCTCTGTGTATATATTACATTTCTCCCATTGATGGTCTTAAAAACGTGGCTCCCCCTCAGGGCATACGTACGCCAGATACGTACGCCAGGGGCGCTAATGTGATAGCTCGAGAGACAACAGCTGTGTTCTTTACTCACCCCTCCATTGCTCACTCTCTGTAAAATGTCACACGTCCCAATGGAGAGCTTATATACATTTTGAGATACAGGGCATGGATTTCAAATGTCATTATACGGAGAGGTTATTCACTGCAATGCACCTTTTCACATTTGCTCATCTCCGTTCAAATGCGAATTAGTAGGCAGTTACGCATCGCAACCGATTAAAGCCCTGAACCACGAAGTGCAGCCGAAACGATTGCCGAATTAATGTGGTATGTCCGTGGTAGTTCAGCTACTAGTCCATAATGAGGGTCTCCTTCATGGTCCTTTAGTTTCCTTCCGCACCGATACTTTGCCGCCAGCGATTGCGTGGCTTCTGAAAGCTCATTCTGGAACTGTTCTGTCGAAAACGTCGTTCAGTTGGCTCATTGCGTTTTGCTCTAATATCCCCCAGTGTCTTCACAGCAAGTTCCTCTCACAGAGGGTTTTTTTTTCCATCGCAATCTGTTCTTAGGCTGTTGTAACACGGCGAGAATTTCCGAGGGAGATTTTCCTAGTTTAGCGCTAAAACTTGACGTTGCCTGATTGCTCTTTGTCCACGATAACTCACCAGGTGCCAAACCTCGTACTGACAGGGCCTGCTTGTAACAATGACCTGGTGAATCAGGTGATGCTGCATATACACCTTATTTGGGAACAATATAAGAAAAACTTAAACATATTTTAAATGCAAAAAGTATTTGATTTCTCTCACCCCCATCAACGGTTACTTAATCACCCCACGAACTCTTCAACTTGCCCATGTACGGTGCACATCTGACAGAGGGGCTTTCATCCCCCATGACCTCCCCCAAAAGACTATCACTCATCGGCCTCAACTCTCCGAAGCTTGCACACACACACAAGCATACAGTGAGGGAAAAAAGTATTTGATCCCCTGCTGATTTTGTACGTTTGCCCACTGACAAAGAAATGATCAGTCTATAATTTTAATGGTAGGTTTATTTGAACAGTGAGAGACAGAATAACAACAACAAAATCCAGAAAAACGCATGCCAAAAATGTTATAAATTGATTTGCATTTTAATGAGGGAAATAAGTATTTGACCCCTCTGCAAAATATGACTAGTACTTGGTGGCAAAACCCTTGGTGGCAAAACCCTTGTTGGCAATCACAGAGGTCATACGTTTCTTGTAGTTGGCCACCAGGTTTGCACACATATCAGTAGGGATTTTGTCCCACTCCTCTTTGCAGATCTTCTCCAAGTCATTAAGGTTTCGAGGCTGACGTTTGGCAACTCGAACCTTCAGTTCCCTCCACAGATTTTCTATGGGATTAAGGTCTGGAGACTGGCTAGGCCACTCCAGGACCTTAATGTGCTTCTTCTTGAGCCACTCCTTTGTTGCCTTGGCCGTGTGTTTTAGGTCAATGTCATGCTGGACTACCCATCCACGACTCATTTTCAATGCCCTGGCTGAGGGAAGGAGGTTCTCACCCAAGATTTGCCGGTACATGGCCCCGTCCATCGTCCCTTTGATGCGGTGAAGTTGTCCTGTCCCCTTAGCAGAAAAACACCCCCAAAGCATGTTTCCACCTCCATGTTTGACGGTGGACAGGTGCCTTTTATACAGGTAACAAGCTGATGGTGTTCTTGGGGTCATTGGCAGCATTCCTCCTCCTCCAAACACGGCGAGTTGAGTTGATGCCAAAGAGCTCCATTTTGGTCTCATCTGACCACAACACTTTCACCCAGTTGTCCTCTGAATCATTCAGATGGTCATTGACAAACTTCAGATGGGCATGTATATGTGCTTTCTTGAGCAGGGGGACCTTGCGGGTGCTGCAGGATTTCAGTCCTTCATGGCGTAGTGTGTTACCAATTGTTTTCTTGGTGACTATGGTCCCAGCTGCCTTGAGATCATTGACAAGATCCTCCCGTGTAGTTCTGGGCTGATTCTTCACCGTTCTCATGATCATTGCAACTCCAAGAGGTGAGATCTTGCATGGAGCCCCAGGCCAAGGGAGATTGACAGTTCTTTTGTGTTTCTTCCATTTGCGAATAATCGCACCAACTGTT